ATTTCTAAACTCCTTATCCAGAAGCAAACTCCTCCTCCTTCCAAAGAGCTATAGTGTAAACACTTGAAGGTTTCCTTGCCTCAAGTACCACACCACGTTGAAGGATACAACTTTTTGATCAAACTTATTGATTAAAAAGGGGGTAGATCAACTTTCTTACAAGTTGATCTTGCAAGTCCTATTGTTCGGACGTTGCAGTTGTTGAAGAAGCGCGACCTTCGAAGGAACAACAAAGCCAGCACGAGTGCAGTAGCAACATTGGCCTTGGGAAGATATACCGTGCAGAAATTCACACAAGTGTAATTGTTGGTTCATTATTCAACAACCAACTACATAGTGGATTTTGAGGACGTAGAAGGATTACCCCACCTTCGAACCTCGTTAAAGTTTGCGTGTCTCTCTCTTTTATCTTTACTCTTACTCGCAATTATATTAACTGTGAAAACTGACCCATCCATATTGATTGCTGCTCACTCTACCCACCAAATTCCGCACATAATCTAAAGTTCACAAGAACTCTAGATTAACACTTATTTTCACGTTTTCTAAAGAAACGAAAAAGATTTTAAATCTGTAACAAAGTCTATTCACCCCCCCTCTAGACTTTGTATTTCACCACTTTGGGACCACCACATACATACCCTATCTATCACATCATACCTTTTTCCTAATAATCTACCCATCACATCTTACTTTTACCCATCACATCAATGATATTTTTGGAAAGTTAACACAAAATTATCCCTACTTATTTTCCCACTTCAATCAAAATGTCTCAATCTTTTTGGGATAGAGGGAGTATCATTTAGGAAATTTATTCTTCACAAACCACTTTTAATATATAAATTAATAAATATGAAAAGTGTGCAGTTTTAGTTTACATAAAAAAAGGTCAAAATTTGTACACCATAAAAAATAATTTACCGAAAATTTCATTTTTTAATACAAGAATTAGTTTGCAATAGATAGAAATTAAAAACAAATTAGAAGTTATTATCCCGTTTTAACAACATAGGAGCTTCATGTTTTTTATCTCCAAAATAGGAGTACAATGCTAATAATGCCAATATATAGTACAAAAAGATACACTGACATATCACTTTATAATGTCATACTGCAAACTCGTATTTTGAGAAAAAAAAAATGGATTTTGAATTTAAGGATAAATGCTATGTTTTACCCCTATTTAGAGTGATTTCTAATTATCCTTAATTTCTATCTATTCCAAAATAATTCTCGTATTAAAAAAATGATCTTTTTGATAAATTATTTTTAATGATGTACAAATTTCGACTTTTTATATTTAAACTTCAATCATACACTTTTTTTATTCATTAATTTATGTATTAAAAGTGGTTTAAAAAGAGTAAATTCACTAAACAGTTTTTTATAATTGTAAATTTTTCATATTTAGTCCATAATTATCAAATATTATTTTCGCGCTCTTTGGGTACCATTCCAAGTTTAGAGCCTGTTCTTTAGGGCTTGAACTCTTAACTTCGTGTTATTTCCAGTTCCTTCCTGTTCTTTTAAGTTTCGCCCAGTTTCTTATAGTTCTCCTAGTTTCTTCCAGTTTAATCCACTTCTTTCTAGTTTTTTCAAGTTCCTTTCAGTTTCTTCCAACTATTTTCATTTTCTTCAAACTCATTCTCCTTACCGACCAACTATTCTAAAAATGACATATTATTATTATTACACCTATTATGTTCATAATTATAGTTTATAAATTATTTCATTTTATCATCTCACTATTTTTATGATTGACACTGATTATTATTTTTTCTTCAACTTTTTATCATGAATAATACCATTTTTTGTATATTAATCTACAAGATAAAATAGGAAATCATCAATATTTTAAACTACTTAGAAAAACTATGCATAAAATAGTTACATAAAATATTTTTTAAATCAAAATTTATATAAGTAAAACATCAATATTTTAATCTAAAATATAATAATTAAATGGGGTGGGGGAGTACTACATTATGAAAACCAAGAGAGAACTACATCTTGAAAAAGAAAAACTGATTGAAAAAGTGTAAAAAACAAATTCAGATAAAAAATAATATCACCAATAATTAAAATACAACGAACAAAAAAAGTTATACTTTCATTTATTTGATCTACTTTTTATTGTCTCTAATATGTTAAATATTGTGCATATGAATGCAAATAATCCAATCATTTTCAACAGTCACATCGTAAAAACTACACTCCGTATTTAGTATCTTTAATTAAGTTTAACTACATTATAGAATATTAACTGCTATTATTTCATCTATAAACTGCTTCATTGCATCTTTAGTTTGTTCATCAAACAACATCACCTTGGACATATCTTCCATTGTTCGCTGTCTCTATAGAAATAAAACATAAAAAATGTAAAAAAAAAGTTCTATGTCTTTATTCCAAAGTAGGGTTACAATGAAAAAAATCATTCATTAAAGAAAAAATAAATTTGATTACATTAAGTGGCATGTCTGATATTTAAAACAAAGTCTTGTAGTATTTAAAGTATAATTACAAATATATTATTTTATGATAAATATTGAATAAATAAAGTGACGTGTAGCGTACCCACAATAACTTTTAAATATTTAACATTTTGATATTTATTCTAATTTTATATTCTAAATAAATTTTTTCTCAAAAATAGTGTTTTTTGTGTATGAAAAATAACAATATTTTTTCTCAAAATTTGATTACATTAAGTGGCATGTCTGATATTTAAAACAAAGTCTTGTAGTATTTAAATTATAATTACAAATATATTATTTTATGATAAATATTGAATAAATAAAGTGACGTGTAGCGTACCCACAATAACTTTTAAATATTTAACATTTTGATATTTATTCTAATTTTATATTCTAAATACATTTTTTCTCAAAAATAGTTTTTTTTGTGTATGAAAAATAACAACATTTTGATATAATAATAATAATAATAACAATAATAATAATAATAATAATAATAATAATAATAATAATAATAATAATAATAATAATAATAACAACAACAACAACAACAAAAATATTAGTTATTTATAACAACAAGAATTAGAATGATAATTATATAAAAATACACAAAAAAATTTTATAAGATTGACTTAGGGTCAGGGTACTATCACATCCCTGTTAAGAGAGACGGACAAACTGACGATCAAGAATTGCTACCGTTTACTATGTGTTGATGATTTGTTCGATCAAAGAACCTAACAGGTCAACCTTGTTGAATGAACTGATGACTTTTCATGAAACAGCTAGCTACTGAGTTATTGCTTATTGTCAAAAACATTGTTGTAGTATGATGATCGTAGTTTTTTCGGGTAGTAAACCTTCCCAATAAAGGGTTAGTTTTCTCTCCGAGTGTTGTGTCTCTCGAGAAGTGGACGAAGGGAATTATTCTAATTACTCTAACTAGGCGAAGGTTAGGATTGATTTATGAAAGTCTTCTCGGAACGATTATAAAAAGAGCAGAGTAAAAATAATAATTTAATTTTACATAGTATAAGTATAAATCTGAACTTAGGGTCAGGACATCATTTGGATCTATTTTATCATATTTAATTAATAGAAATCATCCTAAATAGGACTATAACATAGAGAAAAATACCAAAATAGGACTTTCATGTTTTTTTTCCCGGAATAGGACTTTGCACTGTGGTAATGTGACTTTGCATTATGGTAATGTGACAGTGTACATGTGCAAATTACTATACTTTCTTGGTAATGTATATGACCATGTTTGGTAATGTAAGTCCTATTTCGGGAATAAAAACATGGAAGTCCTATTTTGGTATATTTTCAATGTTTTAGTCCTACTTTGGTCTTTCTCCCTTTAATTAACAATTGGAATAATAATATTTCTATTATTACTCATCCATTTCTAGATTTGTACTTAATCCGTTGCACTTGAATATCATAGCCCTTTGGCATACAATATTTTCTCAATAAATAGCTAATTAAATCTTTTGAGATTAATTAACTAAATAAGGCAAGAACAATTGACTAACCATTCAAATATTAATTTAACATTCAAAATATACAACCAAACTAGTCCGGACCCAGAGATCCGGACCTTAACTCATACTATGCAAACATAAATTAAAACAGCATTTTATTAAATAAGGAAAACTTACAGCTTTCGTACAAGCGGAACAGAACAGATCTGGAGTCAAATCCTCCGAAAATACTTAAAAACTATTACTGAAACTAATATACAACTAATATGGAGCAAAATGGAAGAGGAAACCTGAAAATGGGGTGTAGAATGGTGTGAAATGATTGAGAATCCGCGCTGTATTTATAGGCTACGAACTACAAGCGTCCAACTTTCTGGGCGTCCAACTTTGGATGCCCGTACAACCAACACGTGTTCCGTCGAGTCGCTGGTTGCCGCGTGTCATTCCCGTGTAAGCTGTGGTTTAATTTCTTGGGTGTCCAACTACCCCGGGCGTCCAACTTTGGATGCCCAAGACCCGAATCATGTGCCCAATCCACCTCCAATCGCAATTCCTTGTGAATTTGGGCTCGAAATGTTCCGTTTGACTCCCGGACACTGAGTTCTACCTCCGAAGTATTGTGATCTTAAAAATCTGAAACTTTTTCTCCAATTTGAGACATAAAATTGAAAAATATACTTAATTTAAATTGGAGCTCGTATTTTATTCTTTTTGAGACAAAACATAAGTTTTGTCACTAATAGACACTTTTAATGGGTAAATTTATTACTATTTCCGTGCAATAATGCTTAAAATATGTAGAATAAAATAACAAAAAAATGAACTTAGCATAGTCCGATCTAACGAAATAAAGTGATGCTGACAAGACAAATCATTGTCTTGTCCATATACCCTATTGACGTGAGAGATTGCAACGTGATTACAATACAAACAAGACGTGCAACAGTGACACCAACAGTGTATGATTGAAGGATGAATAAAATGTTTGATATTTTCATGATACATTCTGATGTTGGAAATAGATATTCTTCTAACTTGAACTTGCCATGCAGCTTAGAACAATATTTATGGCTAACTTATAATGTTCATGGACAATATTATTTCAACACAAATACAACTTGGTTTACGAAAAAGACATTACAAATGCAACTCTAAGTCTAATCTTCCAGGATTTGCAAACTCATCATAACTAGCCCCAGAACCCAGAAAAGCTTTAGCAAACTCTAGTTTGTCTAAAAGCTCATCAATAAAGAAAGAAGAAATAAAAAGTTTTCTCTGACTGGAAGCCATGAGTTCTGTCTCACCGCATCATCTAGAAATTTGATTAGGTTATTGAAATAATCGTCAATATTTAAGAGACCAATGGGTCTGCTGTGCAACCCTTTAGATGCCCATGAGATTAAGTTGAACAAACCTTCGATAGTATCAACTCCTTAGGGAAGTACGATGAAAGCCTCCACAACATGATTCATCTCGAAGTACTTACAATAGGTACTGGAAACTGTGTACTCTACACCATACATTAATTATTGGACCGTAGACCCCTCGTGATGCTATATGCCCTGGTATGAAACCTCTGACTATACCACCATTGTTATAGA